GTCTCTGCAATAGGATCTGATGGTCAATGGTATCAAATGCAGCACTAAGATCTAATAAAACCAGTACAGAGACAAGTCCTTTTCTGATGCAATAAGGAGGTTGTTAGTAATTTTCACCAGCTGTCTCTGTGCTATGATGAGCTCTAAATCCTGACTGAAAATCCTCAAATAAACTATGCTCTGTAGAAAGTCAACAGCTGTTTAGCAACTGCTTTCTCCAGAACCTTAGAGAGAAATGGAAGGTTAGATATAGGTCTATAGTTGGCTAAAACATCGGATCAAGTTTGGGCTTTTTCAGAAGAGGTTTAATTACAGCTACTTTAAAGTACTGTGGTACATAGCCTGTTGATAGAGATAGATTGATCATATCTAGTATAGAGGTGCGACTAAGGGTAAAACTTCTTTAAGCAGCCTAGTCGGGATGGGGTCTAAGAGGCAGGTTGATGGTTTAGATGAAGAAATTATTGAAGTTAGTTGGTAAAGTTTGAGGAGGCAAAGCAGTCTAAACATGTATCTGGTTCTACAGCTGTTTCTAAGGTTCCTGAGTTAAGAGATAAGTCGGTGCCAATTGAGGGCAGGTCTTGGTGAATTTTGTCTCTAATAGCTAGATTTTATCATTAAAGAAGCTCATGAAATCGTAACTACTGAGAGCTATGGGAATACTTGGCTCAATAGAGCTGTGACTCTCTGTCAGCCTGGCTACAGTGCTGAAAAGAAACCTGGGGTTGTTCCTATTTTCCTCTATTAATGACGAGTAGTACGCTGCTCTGGCATTACGGAGGACCTTCCTATAAGTTAGACTATCTTGCCAAATTAAACGAGAATTTTCCACTTTGGTGGAACGCCAATTCCTCTCAAGTTTCCGCGATATTTGCTTTAATTTGCGAGTTTCAGTATTATACCATGGAGCTAACCGTCTTTGTTTTAGTATTTCTTTTTAGAGGGGCTACAGAGTCGAGTGTCATTCGCAGCGAGCCTGCAGCACTATCAACAAGATGATCGATTTGGGAGGGACTGAAATTAGCATAGGAGTCCCCGTTACTTTGTGACTTGATAATGAATTTAGAGCTGATGGAATCGCATCCTTAAATTTAGCTATAGCACTATCAGACAGACATCTTGTATAGAAATTTTACCTAATGGCGTGTAGTTCAGCAATACAAACTCAAAAGTTATCAAACAGTGGTCGATAAAGAGGGATTCTGTGGGAACACATTAAATGTTCAATTTAAATACCATATATCAGAACAAGGTGAGGGTGTGGTTAAACAGTGAGTCGGTTCATGAACACTCTGAGAGAAGCCAATGGAATCTAAGAGAGATAAACGCAGTACTAAAGCTGTCATTCTCTACGTCCACATGAATATTAAAATCCCCTACAATAATAACTTTGTCCGTTTTAAGGACTAAAGTTGACAAAAAAGCTGACCAGGTGCTCGGTAAACTATAACAAAAAGAATTGGTTGCAGTGATTTCCAACTTAGGTGCAAAGACTAAGAACAAGATTTCAAATGAGTTATAGTTTAGTTTAGGTTTAGAGCTGATTAGTAGGCTAGAGTCGAAGATAGCTGCAACTCCACTCCTCGGCCTGTGCCTCGAGGAATGTGAGATTAATATTACTGGAGGGGTGGATTCATTTAGGCTAACATATTCTCCATCACCCAGCCAGGTGATTCAGATAATTCAGATTCACATATTGTCATCACGAAATAAGAACTTTGACAGAGATCGAGATCCTTATTTATGTTTTGATATCATGTCATTTTAATTAGTGGTGGTCTGTTTATTCCTAATTCCATCATGATTAGTTACCATGTCTTCAATGTTAAAAGTAAAAAAACAAGGATTTAACATGTGCTGAGAAGAGATATACTGTATACTAGAAGCTTTTACTGCTGTAATCGACGTTCAAATCAGTATTATTATCAATAGTTTATGCATTACCCTGAAATCCAAAATAGCCCATGAAGTAAGAAAATAGTAATCTTATTTACTTTAAACAGTCAATGGGCCGCTGGGGAATCAGAGAGACAGTTGATGTGAACGCTACTTAAGTTGACATCATCTCTTTATTATTTATTTATATTTATAATTTATATTATGTTATTTAATGCTGAAATTCAACTGTGGTGTTCTTTTGGGAAATGCAGTAACTTAAATCAATGTTGAGTCAGTGTACCTCCCAGCAGTATAAAAAATGTAATTGTCAGTTACGAGTAGAG